CGCTGATCCGATGGCAGGAGCCAGGAGCCAGGTGCTTCTCCTGGTCTCCCATGGGGTGCAGGGCCCAAGCACTTGGGCCATCCTCCACTGCACTCCCGGGCCATAGCAGAGAGCTGGCCTGGAAGAGGGGCAACCGGGACAGAATCTGGCGCCCCGACCGGGACTAGAACCTGGTGTGCCGGCGCCGCTAGGTGGAGGATTAGCCTATTGAGGTGCGGCGTCGGCCTGTAAGTGTTCTGAAAATGGGAAGGTTCAAGGGAAATGAGTCTGCAGAGGGCTGCATTCCTCACTGTGTAAAGAAGCTCACAAATCAGTGAGATAAAGATGAACGTCATCAGACAAGTGTGCAAATCCCAAAAGGAGAAATATGAACAAAACACATACAAAAGACCTTCAACCTCAATCAGAATTAAAAAAAAGATTAGGGAGACATTGTTTGCTTCCTATCAAATTGACAATTTTAAAAACATATGAAGTTTCAGATGTGTCTCAAGCATTTTAAAATGTGCATTATCTTGACCTACTTTTTGGATTTTACCCTAAGGAGATAAATGAGTCTGCATGGATGATTTAACTATGACAATGACCATTGCAGCAGAGTTGGTAATTTATAATAGTGAAAAACTGAAAAAAAAACCGAAAATGATTAAAATGTACAATGCAGTAGTGTATAATTTCTAAAATTACTTTGCAATGAAATACTTAATAGTATGGGAAAAGGATATTAGCACTATATTACAAAGTACTATTTGACAAAATGATCCTTTTTATAAAAATTGCATAGATAAGTATATGGAGACTCACTGGTGTGAAAATAGCCTGACAGATGCCAAAATATTCACAGTGCTTATCCTGGTATGAAAGATCAGAAGAAATTTCATTTTATTCTTGTTGCCTGATATGTTTTGTATAAACTTTTTTAGTGAAAATTCATCTCTTTTTTTTGACAAAGATCCAATATGATTAAAAATATGTAAAATGTTGTTTTCTATCTCTTTACCATAGTTCTAGCCTTTGATTGCTTATGAGATTTGTAAACTCCCTTGGGAAATAACCTGACAAAAGATGGGCAGAAGACTGCTTTGTGAAATGTGGCAGGGGCTGAAAGGGACTCTGTGAATGGACTAGGTCCCCTCGCTGTGTCCAGGTTCTGCTCAGAGTCCTCATAAAGCTACTGGGGAGAGGGCGTGTTGAAAGGCACCCCAGGCTGACTGAGATCCAATCCTTGGGTGCCATGAGGTCTACACTGGGGACTCTATAGATTGGAATGAGGTGCCACTAACAATGACACTGGGAAAGCAGAGGTAAACCAGGATTGTCCCAGACAAAACTGGCATATAGTCATCATGATCATGGGGATTTGTGGATTCATAGCTCCTGTTGCTGACAGGTGAGGTACTGTCCAACCTTCTTACTCACAGAAACCAAGGACAAGAGGAGGGAAAATGTTTCGTCCAAACTTAGCTAAGCCACATGCGTCATGAGCATGCTTTTTCGGAAGCTTGACTCAAAACAACCATGGGGGAGGTGGGCTGGGGAGCCACCTTGCAATTCGATGGTAGGGAACTAGCAGAAGGCTACAGTCTTCTCTCCTCAAACTCCACTGAAAAAAGGTCAGATCCAAACCGGACTGTGTCATTTGGTTCTTAGAATTTGTAGAAAATATTCCCAGACCAGGCAGTATCACCCAATTATCTTCTTAACCTGAGTCTGGATTCAATTTCTTATTTACTCAAGAAGAGAATATGTTGCACTATATACTGATATACCAATTCTCATGGGCCTTAAACAGGAAATGTGAGAAAATTTGTATACATTCCAATGGAGCTTTTTATGTATTTTTTTGCTTTATAATTCACTCATAAAAGTGAAGAGGTAAGAGTTCTCTCATTTATGTATCTTGTTATTGTTCAAACAGCATGAAGCCGTTTCTTCTCTATAAAGTTTGCAAGGTATAATCATTGCTTACATTTTCATTTTTCCTTACAGAAAAAGTTTTATGTCCAAACTGGCTCCCAAGAAATAGGGTATGGTAGGAGGAAGAGAAGAGGCTTTAGATCATAAATACTGTATATATTTTAGAAATTTTAAGATGTGTATTTTAAGTTTGAAATGTAAACTTCTTGTTAAAAAGCGCATTTTCACTCTCTGAATACAGAATGCACTTGTTTATCAGTGGTATCCTCACATCTTGAGCTATTTCTGGGGCCCTTTGCGATTGCTTCTGATGGTCACCAGGTGGCAACACCACCCCAGTTCCACTTTAAATGTAATTGCCTGAGGCTTTATTTAGACCACATTTAGGGTGGGAATTCAGGCGGCAAAGCTCTGCAGATTTCATTTGGGAGTTTTAATTTTGGGAGAGCTATTTTATTTTATCTAATCAATACCGTAGTAGTAGTAGTAGTATAGGTATGTTGGTTTCCTCACTGCTGTTGTCTATTGTATGTTAATTTTTTTCTGTTCCTCTTTACTTCAAGGGTGTAAATTCAGCTTATTGTGTGTGCGCCTGTTTGTGTGTGTGTGTGTGTGTAGGTGGGGTGGTGGTGAATAAGTGTGTTTCCCCTTAGACTCCCAATATTGGGATATGTTTTCTTTCTGAGTACAGCATAGAAAATAGAGCACCTTGTAGTTGAAGGCATCTTATAGTCAATGAAAGATAGTAGTTGATTTTGATATCTATGACCTCTGCTTTGCATCTCGGAGACTCGGTTTTCTCTATTGTAAATGGGATCTTAAGATTGAGGGTGCAATCAAGTGATCTATGTAACACTAGGTACAGAGCAGCTGCACAAAAATACTATTCAAGAACTCTGGGGTCTTGTGCCTTTGAAAACATTGTTTTTGTTTTGCTAATTCTCTGGAAACTTCTACTTAATCTCCTCCAAACCCCTTCCTTGTGCATCTTGCTTCATCCAAAGTTCAGAAAACAGAGAATGAATGTAGCATAGGATTATCTTCTTCAAACAAGAGGCAGGGAGAGCAAGTCCTAGGGACTCCAGACAATAGTACTGGCTTCCGTGTCACAGCGGCCTCAGGTCCTGGTCCCCTAACTGACAGCTTGACTTCATAATTATTTCTCCAGGTCTTCTTTCATCAAGGGTAAGGTGAGAGTCATAACAATATCTACTTTGTACTGTGGTTGCCTCTTAAATTGTACAGAAAGCTTACAAATAGTGCCTGGGTTTTGGTAAATACTAGATGAGTGCTACTTATTACATGTTGTTTTCTTGCAGTATCACAGTCCCTCAACAGGATCTTAGAGATCTCTGTGACACGAGAGGAGTGAACATTTTCTGATGTGTCCCATTGATTCACTACCAGGGAACTTATGCAATGTGAAGAACCGGCTTGGTAGTGCATGGCAAGACTGTCCATTGGCAAGAGCTCTAACCATGTCCATTTTGGGTTCTGCTTTCTGATCCTCCTAGTCATGGAAATCAGGCTAAGATACCCTGGTCCTGCCCCTGGTCCATTCCTCCTACAGTGTCAGGGGGCTATACATAAGATTATACATAAGGGTATTCATAAAACCCACTAGAAACTAACTAGAGTTTGCAGGGGTTATGTCATTAGTGAAGCAAGTATATCTTTTGGCAGGAATGAATAAAAGGGTTTTGTATAACTCTGGACAGAGGTTTCTACACAGACTAATTGAGAAGATTCTTTGTAAAGCCACTCTGCTCATCATTCTAGCCCTTTCAATGTAGTAACCAGAAAAGAAAATGCATTTAATTTGGACCTAAAGCCCTTAATTATATTATGAATAGGCAAAGTGCACCTGGTATTTCTGGGGGATTGAGTAAGGCAAAATGTTTCTTTTCCTTTTGTTGGGTTAGTACATAGACACAATACATTTCAAATTGGGAATTGCCAGTGAAGGTATTAATTTTGCAGTTTGTAATCTGTAGGTAGTTATCACAGAAACTCATTGGGAATAGTGCATGTGCACAGAAGTGTGAATTTCCCAAACCAAAGAAAGCAGAATCTCCCAGGCAGCTGAGCAAACTCACACAAAAAATTGCTCACTGGAGCTTTACAGAGTATTGGATCAAACTCTGAAAATTTGCTTGCAAATTCCCTGCTGTTCTTGCCCGAGGCTCCGTCAGATGCCACGTCCTCCTGTGCTCAGTCAAGGAAGGTCTGTCAGCTTCCATCAGTGAAGAGGAGCAGCCCAGTTAGGCAGGGACAGCACCCTGTTTTCCCACTCCCCTTTGCAGGGCAGAGCTGGAGGGGCACAGGGCAAAGTCATCATTGATAGATTGATGGCTGCCAGCTTTGAACAACTCCCCTCATCAAGTCGCTACCTGGGAGCCTTCCTCAATAACTGATGAGGGAGGCAGTTTCATTACACTTGTTGTACAGAGAGGAACTCATACTCAGAGAGCTTGCCTCGCTTATCAAAGGTCACATAGCCACAGAAGTGGTAGAGGTGGAATTCAAACCTAACTACATCTACAGTCCATCTTCTTTTTACTATGCTGAGATGGAGGAGAGGAGCAAAAGGAGGAGTGAGATAGCAGACAACTGGGAACATGGGGAAATAGATGTCTAAAATCTCAGACAGCATAGAGCACTAGTGTTTACATCAAGTTAGTGGGTGCCCTCACGTATGAAAATGCAAGGCTTGTAACTGATGTGAATTCATCCAAAAGCAAAGCCAAGGCCGAGTGTTGTTAATGCCACTTGGCTTAATAATCTCAAAGTGGAAGATAATCCTTTGATGCTCACTGAGTTAAGGGATCCGATACTTTAGCCATCTTTTCCTTAAGGAGCTAAACTGTAGCTCTTCCTCTAACTAGCATCTCCTTTCAAAGCTGGCCTTCAGTCTACTCATGAGTTTCAAAGGGAAAAAGAAAAGACGGTGCCAAACTGAACCAAACCAAAGCAAACGAATAACAGACAAACAAAGAAACTGAAAACCACGGACCTTGGGTTCTCTCTCTAGTCCCACACACATTTACAACAATGTACTTAGAAAAAGAGCCACTCAGCTCTACCTTGTGCTCCAGGCTGGAGTCTTTAAACATCAGTGAGAATGGCTTGATATGCTCTCTTCTCAATTTATCGCCACTCCGCAAGTCGATGGTATGTTCTATTCTCTTGTTAATTTCCTCAGGCCCAGACTGGACATGCAAAGCTTGTGCAAGATGGTTTGGAAGCAGATTTATTGAATTTCTTGTTAGGGCAGCCAGAGTCTAGGGGGAAAGCACATGCAAACACAATAAACCTGCTAGTCCCCTTTGGATCAAAAAGAAATGAACTGTTTTTAGGTCATGTTGCATTGCAAACAGTAATAGCATTTCATGCAGTTGTATTCAGTGAAACCTACAGAAGCTGACTTGTTAGCATTTGGTTTAGAGAAACACAGCCTGGCAAAATACCACATTAATAGGGATACTTCCCTTCCTCTATGTAGGTGCACTGAATTCCCTGGGTTGAGTTATTTGGAGAATCATTGGCTTAAGAAATGTTATCAAGGGCCTTTCTCCAACCAGGTATATTCCAGGTTTAAGAGAAAGAGAACTCCAAAATAACAGAAAGCAAATATATCTGAAAAACCCACAAAATGATCATCTCCACGTTTTCATGTGGTTTTTGATTCCATGGTGGTGGAGAGACCTGGGGTCCCAGGCTTGCATTTTTATTTTAGCATTCCTAACAGCCAGACAGCCAGATATGCCAGGATGTGCTCCTTCAATTTGATAAAGGCTGTTAAATTTTACACTTCACAAATACGCCCCCTCCAAGTAGACCATTATATATCTATATACTTATATAGATATATGTGTGTGATTTCCTTTTTGGAAAAAAATGCAAGCAGTCACAGCCTCCCAGATTTTCTCAGGGCTCAACAAAATAAAGTGGTGTAAGGTACAGCCATCAAGGTTAGCAGCTGGATATGGGTACACAGATGCAGATATTGCATTGGCTTAGTGAAGACACACCAGCTCAGAGAAGAGAACTTGTCTTCTGGTGACTTGATCCACCAGTGACAAGATCCACTGGTTGGATCTAGCCAAATGCAATGGTCACTCAGAGCTCCAGTTTGACTGCTACTTTGACAGAGCGTGATTTGGAGTTGAAGGGATGTGGTACAGGTGAGGGAAGCCCATTCCATCGCTCCAAGAGACTTCTTTGAGGGGAAGGACAGATGGGATGCATCTGTGGAGCTGAGAAGTGAGCACTCTGCCTCTGTTCACATTCCTATAGCCTCTGCTATTCTTGGCTATGTTTAGAACACAGCTAGACTGCGATAAAATGATGATGCCACCAAATGGCAGACTGTGGGAGGAGACAGACTACCAGAAAGATCCTCCTGTACAAGCCTTTGTATATCTATGAGCCTCCAAGAGACTTGCTCAAGAGACTTTAGCTCACTTGCAGTTCAATCAGACCCACTGTTTCTAGGGCCAGAGTTGGCATGCGGGGCTTTGACCTCTGTGAAGCCATCCAGCCTACTCCATCCATATAGATATGGTGTTGTTGGATACTTCATATTCATCTACATGGATGACCTGAATTGGAGGTCTCTAAAGAATTCTGCAGCAGGGCTTCATCACTGGCAGGATTTACTGAAACCCCCTTATCCAGCGCTGGACAAAGAATAAAGCTGCTTGTGCTAAAAATGAGAAAGCAGCTGTATGATCTTAGGGCACTGAAGCGTTAATTTCACCTCTGGGTATTAAGGAGACCACTGCAGGTTAAAAAGATAGTTGTTTGCAGGGGGCAGATACAGCAGGATGGGAGGTAAGGAGAAGGATTGGATTAGAGAGGGGGAAGCAGGGACCAATGTTCCAGAAAATTCAGCAGCAGGAGACACAAGGAGCTAAAGGGCTTGAGCCCTGGGACTTAAATGCTGTTAGTGCAGCATCCCTGAACGCAAAGGAAATGACTTGTTCCACTGGTTTATTGGGTAGAAATTCTTTCCACATAGCTTGGCAATTGGCAAAACTCAAGTTTTTTACGTTGTAGAGGATATGGAAAGGAAACTCAAGCTACCTTTGTTGGGATACATTCTGCCAGGATGCCCCCTGGACTGTACTTGGGACTGGCTTCTCAAAGCTGGAGATAAAATTTACTGAAATATCTAGGAATGTTCATAGTTAGGCATCTCTGACATTTTTGGTAATTTTAATTTGCTTATCCATTCTACCAGGTCCTCAAAGACCTTTGCATTTCACAGAGCAGGGGAGTTTCAGAAAATAGGTTTGGGACTGATTCACCTAAATTATAGTGAAAGCAACTGCTGCGACAAGAGTTACAACTGCACTGCTCTAATACAAGCTCTAATGCAAACTCAGAGTAACAGCCTCTTACATTTACTTTAATGAATTAACTCTCAACTTTGTCCCTACTTTGCTCCTATTGATACAGACTGGTGAAAGTGTCATCAGGGACAAATGCTGGTCTGTTGGGGACATTTGGCACTAGGAGTAGATGTTACCTCCTGGCTGCCTGTACTTTGTAACCCTTTTCCACTCAAAAAAGGATTCAGCTGCCACTGGAGGCGCAGAGCAATGACATCTGCTTTCAGAGCTCCTTTATATGGTTGATTCAAATGAAATAGAACTTTGGAAGCACCAGCTCTTTCACCACTACCACCACCAGGTAGAGGAACCAGCTACGGAGGAAGCCTTTTTGTCAAAATGCCAATGATGTTGTAGTGGAAACTTCTTTCGTGGGCTAAGCAGTTATTTATATTTCGTGCAATTATATCCCTAGTACTTTGTGCAGGTAGGCAGTGCTCAGTGATCTTCTCTCTGATCATTTGTCCTGTCAATTGTATATGACAATTACACAGGTGTACCTCCTCCCTTCAGAGCACACACTCACATACTCAAGAGATCAGCATCAATTCCAGAAGGCAACCAAATTGAAATCAGGAAGGGACATAAGGAAATATACAGCCTCCATTAACCTTTAATGAACTGCAACACATTCATGACTTCGGGGGCAACTATGGTTTGAGAGTATCTGTGATACTCCTCTCTTTCCACAACTGAAGACCACTAAGATTTGACCACACCTTCATCCTCAGTGGGATAATATCGCCAACACCAAAAATCCATGCACTGATGTCTCCAGTATGTCATTTGTCGAAAGTATTGTGGAAATGTTACGTGCCTAATTGGCCCATTTAGGATCATGCTGGAATGAATGTTTTTTAATTATAATATTTTTCATTCTTTTTAAAAAGACTTAACAGCCCCAGTGTGAACTAGATTGAAGTTGTGTTAAAAATAGAATAAACTTTAAAATACAGTTCCAATCTTAAATTGACCTCCAAACTGTTAGATGGTTCTTTTATACAAACAACTTAAGCATTTGACTACAAAATAGGAAAAACAGAAAGATGGAATGGAAAGAAATGGCAAATGGAATTAGATTAAATATAATGTATATAATTGAGCACCTAAATCCAAATATATGTTTCAATGTATGATTAAAGTATATACTATAGACTATATTTACACACAATAATAAACATATACATATTTATTTATTTTAGCTGGAATTTTTTAGATATTTGGGAGGTCAGATTGAAGCAGCAATGTTATAAATAATTATTATATTTATTTTATAAATAGTGCTATAAATAATGCTGTAAACATTTATAATGTTGTCTGTTTACTTTAGATATTGTTCTAGATGTTTGGGTGGTCAGATTAAACAGTAGAAATGTCAAATTTTGGGGCCAGCATTAAGGCACAGCAGGTTAAGTTTCTGCTTATGATGCTGGCATCCATTATCAGAGTTCTGGTTCTTGTCCTGGCTGCTCCTCTTCCGATCCAGCTACCTGCTAATGCACCTGGGAAAGCAGTGGAGGATGGCTCAAATACCTGAGCTTCTTCCACCAGTGTGGAAGCCCTGGTATTCTTGGCTCCTGACTCTGGCCTGGCCCAGCCCTGCAGCTGTTGTGCCATTTGGGGAGTGGATTGGTGGATGGAAGGTATTCTCTTTCTCTCTCTCTCTCTCCATGTCTTTCAAATAAATAAACTTTAAACAAAGAGAAATGTCAAAGTTTGTGGCTGAGGTGGCCTCCTGTGGCTGAGTTCCTAAATAAGAAAGTATCATTGCCCCTGGATTCATCATAACTGGGACCTATGTGCCCTCTTTGGATCTCTCAGAAGTTAGTTCCTCCTTCACAAGTGTGTCAGACAGAGCAAAGCCCAAATGGGAGCCGAAGTCCCCTCTGAACCCAGGTTTCTGGTGATAGGGTCTTGCTTGAATTACTACATGGGTCTGGTGAGAATTATAATCAGAGGTCTGTGTAACCCTTGGCAAATTTTGTTGGAATGGGGTAGGAGTGGCCATGGTTTCTCTTAAACCCATCAGTTGGTTTATTCTCAGAAGACTTTGGATTTGTGTCTATCTGTGTACCCACAGAAGCCCTACTTTTTCTATAGGATGTATTACTTCGTGGTGGACACAGATTTTGGTATTCGTTAATGAGCTTGTCACAGTGAGTAAATTCTTTCCAATGGGATTTCAGGCTGAAGACTGACTCTTTAGAAACATTCAGTTTTTATGAGTCAAGAACCCTTTAGCTCTATGAAACACAAACTGCCATCTCAAAACCCTGAATGTCAGCCGGTGCCGCTGCTCATTAGGCTAATCCTCCACCTTGCGGAGCAGGCACACAGGGTTCTAGTCCCGGTCGGGGCGCTGGATTCTGTCCCGGTTGCCCCTCTTCCAGGCCAGCTCTCTGCTGTGGCCAGGGAGTGCAGTGGAGGATGGCCCAAGTGCTTGGGCCCTGCACCCCATGGGAGACCAGGATAAATACCTGGCTCCTGGCTTCGGATCAGCGCGGTGCGCTGGCTGTAGCGCACCGGCCGTGGCGGCCATTAGAGGGTGAACCAACGGTAAAGGAAGATCTTCCTCTCTGTCTCTCTCTCTCACTGTCCACTCTGCCTGTCAAACAAAACAAAACAAAACAAAACAAAACAAAAAAACGCTGAATGTCTCCAACATCACTGTAGAACTCAGGGTCAGAGCTGGAAGGTTCTGTTTCCTTCTCAGGGCTTCCTAATCCACTTTCTTGAAACTGTGTTCCAGAAAAGGCAAGAATGACAGCATGCTTTCTTTGAAATTGGTTCTGTGGTTTAGGCCATGGGGATCCATTATCTGTTTATCCTATTTCTGCTCACCAATCTCCTTGGGAAAAGGACTTTGCTCCCAGTGCTGGTGCCAATGT